TACTCCCTCCTTACCTGAATATACTAATGTCTAGAGCTATTATAAGTCATACTTTTTTAAAATTTGATTGAATTTATAGAAAAGAGTCAAGATTTATGACACCAAACTATATTTTTATAACATGGTGTCACAAATATTTATGTTTTTTATAAATTCGGTGAAACATAAAAAGTTTGACTTAAGAAACTCTAGAAAATTGATTTATTTAGAGATAGAGAGATACGAGCAGATGTATCTGACCTACCCATCAGATTAGTGTGTGGTTCAATTGATGCCCGTTTGCGGAATTTGATTGTAATGTTCCTTCGTTGTGTGCTAGTTTGGGTGCAATTTGATTCATGAGAATTGGAGAGGATTGTGGGGAAAATGAACTACACCTCTTAACCCCCTCTAATCCCCGTAGAAAATGATGGATCCAAAGAAGTCGTTAGTGTAAGTTGATGAGAGCCTGACACCCTGTTCGTTTGGGCTGGTTTGATTTATAAGTCATGATTGAAAGTACTGTTGGCTGGTTTGGTGTGAGAGAAAAATACTGTTCGTTGGCTGATAAGTCATGGTTTATAAGCCAAATACGACCAAGCGATCAGGCTGTGGATTTGTTGAGACTTGAGAGAAATCTATAAGATGACACCCAATTTTGAAACGGTAGAATCAATTGGCATATCTGGTCTAATTAAAACTTGCCAAGGCTGGTTGATGCTAGATAAGTTGTTTCAGCCTAGAAATGTTTGAACAGTGGTATTTTCTCGGTTTCAAATTATATGCCATACTGGTTTTTCTAGATGTATAGTTGTACATATTATCTAGATATAGTAAAAATTACGTTTCTAGGAAAACTAAAATAATCTTTTTTTAGCAACAGAGAAACTAAAATAATCTATAATTTGACGGGAAATAGCTCCCCTTGGACTGGCTCAGAGCATCTTCACCGGATATACTATAATAACCAGTTATATGAGATCCCTCCAAAGGAACTTTAGGATAATGAGGGGTCCCTGCTTCAGAAGATTGCCAAAACCTCACACTGATTTAGGACAGGGAGAGTTCTCCTATTTCTTTAGAAGAGATGGTGGTCGATTTAGGAGATCTTCTAAAGCATTTAGGGCTAAAAGATGTAACAGGAAGTCTACTTCGACCACTACATTTTCTATTTAAGTGATAGGGGAGAGCGTAAGAGATCTGGTGAAGATGCTCTCAGGTCCAGGCTCTTTGGGGTTGAGTATTTATCAGTTGTGGTCATATTTCTTTTCTTTTTTTTTCTCGAACACGCAAGAGCATCGCGAATCATTGTATTAAGAAGATAGAAGTTTTGAAATACAAGAGAAACCGTTCCTAGCCCGGTGGTTCCTTTTTTTTGTTTGTTTTTGCGGGGAAAGAGACGATCACATTCTTGAAGCACCAAGACGTTGAGATATGTTTCAAAACAAAAAAAAAGGAAAAATGTTGAGCTATAGACAAGTTTCTCGGTAATATTTTGAATCTTAGTTAACTGCACACTATCACACACGTAACCAAGCTTATGCAGTGCTAAACTGCTAATGTCTAGGCAAGTTAACAATCTCAGTAATTATTCCTTCAATCCTTCCACGGTTACAGCGTAGTGCTCCTCGTAGTGAATTGAGCGCGCGTTTAGTTCGCGAAAAGTGCGAAATTTGGCTATTGTAGCAATTTCGTTTTTATTTGGTAATTAATGTTCAATCATGGACTAATTAGGCTCAAAACGTTCGTCTCGTAATTTCCAACCAAACTGTGCAATTAGTTTTTATTTTCGTCTACATTTAATGCTCCATACACGTACCGCAAGATTCGATGTGACGGGTACTGTAGCACTTTTTGGGAAAACTTTTCGTGAACTAAACAAGACTGAACCACATTAGCGGCAGGTACCAGTGCTAGCACAAAAGTCACGCGGCGCCCTCCTCGGAATGGGTGATGACAGAATGACACCACCCGGCGCATACAGGGAAAGCTACTGGCATGCCTGCACCGAATGTCGGCGGCGGCGAAGCGGCGGCCGTTGGCAGGTACCGAGTCCCCTCAAACACAGAAAAGCAAGCTGGAACCTCGAGACGCCAGTTTCCGAGTTGCCCAACCCAAGCTGGTGCTGGACTCGATATTTCGTCGTGCTGGTCAGGGCAATGGATAAGGCAACGCAACGGCTCAAGTCCCAGCCGGCCGGCCAACCGCACCCACAGGTTGGCGGGTGATGTAGAGCTGCAGCCTGCAGGTAGGGGAGAAGAACTACGGCTAATAAATGTTTCCATAAAGAGAAGGACAAAAAAAAAAGTAAAAGGAGCTACAGGCAGTCACCGAGTATACGTACCATATATCCATATCATCATGGGCTCATGGCCATGCCCAACGATAAATCCTACCTAAATTTTATTTCAGGATTACCCTTTTTATCTATATATATGGATCAAGAGGAGGAGACACGACAAAATACGGTACAACTTTGTCCGAGCAAGAAATTCAATACCGGCGAAATAGTTATTTTCGTCGCACGATGCTTAGGACCCGTTTGGCAGGGCTCCACGAGCGGCTTCGGCTCCGGCTCCGGCTCCTGCCGAAGCCCTGCCAAACGGGTGACGGGAAGAACGGCTCCGCTGCCGAAGCCTGCCAGAGCCAGAGCCCTTTTTCTATTGCGCAGACGGAGCCACAAAACCAAGCTCCTCCTGGCTCCTCCTTCCTCGGGGCGTGAAAGGGCGCGGTGGCCCTTCTGCTTGAGCGCGTAGCAGCCAGGGCAACCGGTTTCCTTGCGTACGCGTGCTTTGCCTTACGTAAAGAAGAGGAGGACCCTGTAGCAACTATTAGCTTCTCATTACAGGTTCAAAATCGCCTGGTACTTGTAAAATATGTAATAAATCACAAAAATATAAATAAAATGTAAAACCAAGTTAAAGCAAGGGCAATATGGACATTCACCATCTTCCATCCATTCTAAAAAACAGAAGGAGCCGTTTTGCCAAACGTTTTCCAGAACGGCTTCAGCTCCTCCAGAGGAGCTGCTCCTTCAGAGGAGTCAGAGCCGGAGCCATTTTCAGAGGAGCCAGAGCCCTGCCAAATAGGCCCTTAGTTCCATCCCTAAACTATTAGAGTGGTCTTCAACCCTTAAAGTGGCTAGTTTACATGCGAAATTGAGTCTGAAAGTATAAACTTTAAAGAATGAAATAGACACTATAGTAGTTCATAACAATATGGCTATTCTACCCCTAAAAATTACTGCCTCCGTCTAGAAATGATAGACGTATTTGACCATAGGAAAAGTCATACAAAATAGATTTTGACCGGCAATTTCTCTTATAGTATGTAGTCAATTGCTAAAGAATCAGATGTCATATTATAGCCACTTTAAACACAAATCTATTGATGTAAGTTTTATGCTCTAAACTTGCACTTAATTCAACTAATTGTTGACCAAACTTTGTAAAAATTGACTTTTGCTCCAATCCAATATGCCTAACATTTCTAGACGGAGGTTGTTTTAGTTTTTCCTAGATCGAATTACCTTAAGTTTGTCAAGCTTGTACAAAAGAATAATAATATTTACATTACTGAATAAGTATGATTGGATTCAGTATGGAACGTATTTCTATAATATATCTATTTGATATCATAGATATAAAATTATATCTATGATTTAATCAAATGATTTAAGGTTAAAACTAAAACGTCAAGTTCTTTTTTTTAGGGGGTGGGGGGACGTGCTACATGTATGTCTCCCGTGTAACAGAGTAGGAACACGAAAAACACCGGATTTGATCTAGTCCTCTACTCCCTGTTCGCTTGATCGTATCAGCCATGCTTATCAGTCATGATACAGTGTTTTTCTCTCACAACAAAACAACATCAGCCGGCTTATAAGCCACAGAAATGATGAACATACGGTATGTTCACTTGCTCGTATACGATCATGGATTATAAGTTGGAATAGTATTTTTCTCTTACACCAAACCAGCCAGTAATAAATAATTCACAATCGTTTACGACAATCGAACAAGCTGACGCTGTAAAGAAGAACTGATTTGGTAGCACAAAAGGCAAAACGTTGGGATCCGTTAGAAGTAGTTGGGCGAACGAGGAAGGAAACGTACGGTACATGGTCATGTAATAAATCTGTTTGACTAGAGGCACGACAAAGACAAATCGGCAACTATAAACACAATCTGAAAGAACAAGCTAAGATGTGCCAGGAGGAACGAAATAAATGAAAGAGCTTCGAGGAACTCGCGATGAATGAATTGTTTGTATGCAACTAATCTGAGTTAAAATTGTTAATTATTGAGATATAGTACTCCGTATATAGTACTGAAATTAGGAGCAGTGGCTGTATACTCCTACTCGTAATGTTGTACCGGCAACTGCTTTATTTGCCCTTTTTTCCCTCTGACCGCTGGCACGCAATGACGCAACGCCGTTTTGTTACGGGTACTGCGGCCAGTGATCGTGCACTGACAGAAAAAGTGTAGCTTGCACGTGTGCTCGCTCTGCCCTGCCGCTCGATACGTCATGGTTGTTCACAGGTAGAGGTAGCAGTACTCCCTCCTTACAAGTCTTTAACAAAGAAGAAGCGGAACCGCAGCCGTTACTTTCACTGCCATCCATCGTCCAAGGGCAAGAAACAACAGCGGCAGCCAACAATCTTGCAATCTCCACAGCAACAACCACCTTGTTCCGATCTTCTCATAAAAAAAACATTGTTCCGATCGAAAATTGTCAACAGATACTTATTTATTACACATGAATAATTCATCAGGTTTTACAAGATCAGTTCATCACCCGCTGCGGCGATTCCAGTCCCAGCAGCAGCATATGTACACAAATCATCAGTTTCACGAATCAGAGAGAGGTTACAAAAGCCTCTTCACATTAGCATAAATCGCAGTCACACGGCACGAGCAGCGGCCATTCAGATCGGCATCAAGATCAAGGAGCGGCGGCGGTAGGGGATGGAACGATGGATACCAGTACCAGGGGGGTGCCGTCTCGGCCTCTCAGTCTCAGGCGCGCCCGGTCTCCTCGGCGGCAGGGGCGGGGGTGTGGAGGGCGGGGACGCGCCCGCCGCAGCCCGACCGCTTCTTGCGCTTCCCGGAGCCGGACATCAGCGCCCACACCGGCAGCGGCGCGAACCGCGGCTGCGCCGGGGAGGAGGCGATGCACTGCCTCTTGCTTTCCGGCAGCAGAGGCGGGAGCGCCAGCCGCTTCTTCGGCGGAAGTGTCGGCAGAGGCGGCGGTGGAGGGTGATGGTGGTGGTGATGCTGCTGCTGCTTCTTCGGCGGGAGGGGGGGAAGCGGTGGCGGGTACAGCTGCTTCTTCGGCGGAAGCAGCAGAGGCGGTGGCGGGTACTGCAGCTGCTTCTTCGGCGGAAGCAGAGGCGGCAGCTGCTTCTCCCGCTGCGGTGGTGGCTTCGCTGGTGGCGGCAGCTGCTTCTCCCGCTGAGGTGGTGGCGGCGGGGGACGAGGGGGCAGGGCCGCAGCAGCCACCGGGGCTGGGCGGTGCGCGGGCGGAGGGAGCAGGCCGCCGTGAGCACCGGACGGGAGCAGGTTGCTGGAGGAGGACGCCTTGGGCCGTCCACGGATGCGGAGCCGCGCGGCGACGTAAGCGGCGGCGGCCTCCTCGGCGGTGTCGAAGGTGCCGAGCCAGACGCGGCGGCGGAGCAGCGGGTCGCGAATCTCCGCGGCCCACCGGCCCCACGGGCGCCGCCGCACGCCCGTGAACCTCGCGCCGCCCTCCCCCTCCTCCTCCTCGTCCTCCTCCGCGCCGCCGCACAAGGCGGACTGGAGCAGCACGCGGCTGCGCTTCACGCTACCCGCCGACGCCGACGCCGACGCCGAGCCCGGATGCGCTGCGCCGCGCTCCTCTCCCTCCTCCTCCTCCTCCTCGCTGGAAGACGAGTCGGTGGCGTCCTCGTCGTGCACGATGATCCGCACCACCCGGCACCGCGGCGCCGCCGCGGCGGACCTCTTCGCCTCCTCCACGGCCTTCATCACCTCCTCCTTCAAGCTAGGGTCCATCCCCACGCCTCGGGGGACACGCCGCCTCCTTCACCCCATGGAAAAAGAGCCGCGCCGCCTCAGCGCACGGTCGCGGCGGCCATGGGCGGTCCTCGGCTAGGGCTAGGGCTTCGATCCGCTAGGGCAAGCGAGCTAATCGGCGGGCGGATTTCGGGACGGGAGCGGGAAGAGAAGAAGGCAAAGGATGAATTGGGGACGGACGGAGTCGAGGGGAAATTGGGGGAAGGTATTAGTTGAACAGCGCAGGGGCGTTCCGGTAATTTCGCGGTGGTGGTTCCTTGCAAGGAGTCTCCGCCACAGGGGCGGTAGCGCCGTGTGGGGCATATTCGCTTCGGGAGCAGGGGAACGGGAGGAAGGGAGCGCGGAATGACGGGAGTGCCCTCGGGCTGGTGAGTGGAATATTCGTGGGTTTCAAAATTCAAACGGGGTAAAACCGGTAGGGGGTGGGGAGGAGTTTCAAGTTGAAGCAGGGTCCGTTTCTAGAAGCTGCTGCTAAAGCTAAACAGCCAAAGTGAGCTGGGTTTGGGCAGACGGCAGTTTCAAGATACTTTTGTGTCATTATAAAAGATCGTAATTCCTTACGTGCCACTGAAAAAATTCAGCGGTCTTCAGCGTCATTTCTCTAACTTTTTCGAGTCCTTCATGCCACTTCCGTCAGTTCAGGCTCTAACGCCGTCAAACCGCAGGTGTGAAAAGACGAAAATGCCCTTAAGTTCAAATATGTTATTTTATTTAGCATCTTAACGACTTCGAATGAAAAAACTCAAAACTAGAAAGTTTTTGATCTCGTCGAGATCTATAATTTTCATATAATATTTATTTTCATTTAATTCCACAAAAAAATATGATTTGATATAAAGACCACTAAATTTTTCCAGAAACACACAAGGAATTACGATATTTTATAATGACACACGAAAAAGTCTCCCGTTTCAACTTGCGGAGCAAGAAGTGGCAACCCGCGCGCGCGTGTGCATTAACAAAACACAGGTGCGATTAAAATACGTGATTATCTTGTTTATTTTAATGTTGTGAGATTATCAATGCATTTCGTATTTGTATAAGTTGGCCAAAAATGCCCATCAATAGGGAATTATGCGTTGTTGACGAACTATATATGTACACTAACAAACTAACGAAAATTAACAGGTGTTCGTACACGAAGGCTAGTAATGATTTTTTATATCAGCCTGTTCGCTTGTTGGTTTCAGCCAGCCCAAACCAGTCAGCCAACAGTGTTTTCCTCTCAAAAAAACCAGCACCAGCCAGCCCAAACCAGCACCAGCACCAACCAGCGAACATGCCCTATATATAAAGAAAAAGAGAACATGGTTATGCCATATATGAAAGCATTTAACAAGGTTGTAATTACAAGAAGCAAGTGAAACTCAAATGTTAACATATGAGCATTAAGAGCAAAAAAAAGAAGGTTTGTGGTCGGCACGTTCTTCAAAAAGCATATGAGCGTTAGTTTCTCAAAACATGCAGCCGTTCGGCTGGGGCTGGCTAACCCCCTCATATGGACACTATTCACATGAACCAGTCAGCAATACTTCTCTCTCACATAAACGAACCAGCAACGATACGAACCAGCCAACCGAACAGGCTAATGGTTAGCACCTTCTTATGTCAAGGGCTATGCTAGTGTTCGGAAGTTTGGACGGACCGACGTGTCTGGACGTTCACGCATGCTGCTACGCCTGATGCGCCCCGCGTCTCCTCTTGCTTTATTTTTTTGGAACACGTGCCTCCTCTTGTTGCTGCTGTGCCCCACACATCCTCTGTCCGCCGAGATACATGCGAGAGAGAGAGGGGGAACATATCACGCGTACCCCAATGCGAGAGAGTGAGCGCAGCGCGCGTGCCCATATGCGAGAGACCCAGCTACACGAGAGAGAGAACAATCACAGCGCGCGTGCCCCAATACGAGAGAGAGGGGTGGAGCACAGGGGCATGCACATGTGTGTGAGCGGGCAGCATGCTCCACCGTGGGGGGCATGCCTGTTGTAACAACCCGGGTTTTTGGAGAAGCCAAAAATACGAACTTTTTAAAAAAAAATTCCTGCAATGAGTGAAGCATGTAGATGCAAGATCAAACTAAGAATAATTTATAAATAAATTGTTGCATGCATATAGAATTACTTGTAGGAGTTTGTCGGAGTTCTTTTATTGGTTTAGTGTTTTGTGTTGGAGAGCACAAGTCTGTAGCAAATCATTTTGACTCCTTCTAGAATCTCTCATAAACCCCTTGACCTAATTTCTATAGTCAGCCAACTATCTTTATCAAATCAATGCACGTGAGTTGTCAACCCTTGACATGGACCCTAGAGCCTTAAGTGACCCCTAGAGGACCACACTAGGAGGTATACGTGTTGGCACACATGTATTCCAATGTGAGAAACCCATGGCATAGAGTAGGATAGAAATAAGAAAAAAAAAAGGAAAAGAAGACAGAGGAAAAAAAAAAGGGCATCTGTCCCAAATAACCGAACCACCCCAACCTAGCCCCCCCTACTGCACTTCATTACAAGACGGGTGGCCTGCTGGCCCAACCGACGCATATGTACCAACCGAGCCCCCCTCTCCTTGCCCCTGGTCGGCCCATCTCATCTCACCCCCACCGCCCACGAGCACGCTGGGCTCTTCTTTGCCCAAACCGCTGCCTGCCCCACCGGCCGCCAGCCAGCCGCCACCAAGCCCCACTCCAACCCTAACCCTAGGGTGCACGCTACAGCCTCCAGACGCCATCCACGCCGCCGCTTCGCTCACGCCAAGACGCGTGCCTCAGACGCGCCGACCAAGACGCAGTCGGCGGCCCCACGTGCCTCGGCCTCCGCGCCGCTTGATGCACGCCGCGTGTCTATGCCCGTGCACGGACGTCGAGGATGGACGGAGCTCCTAGAAGCCCTAGCCCGCGAGCATAAATAGCCGAGCCACCGCCGCTTTTCTCCTCCATTTCTCAACCGCCGCCGCCTTCCCTCTCCCTCTTCCTTCTGCGCCAAGCAAAGAATTCCCCTGACGTCCACGCAGCGGCACCACCTCGTCGGCATCCACCTCGAGCCATCGCTCGCGCCTTCGTCCTCGATCGCGCCACGCCAAGCCCGACCCTGTCTCAGCCACGACGAGCCTCTCCACGCCAATGTCATCGTGCTCCACTGAGACCGCTCCAGTGCCCTCCACTTCGACCCGCATGGACGCCATCAAGCCCGCGCTGCCACCGGCGCCTCGCCAGAGCGACGTCGAGCCGGCCGTGGACACAGTCCATCACCCCAAGCCACCGTCGTCCTTCATCATGACCACCACGACGTCTGCACGGCGACCGTCCCTGACCACCAACCTGTAGCCGAAGCCACCTCCCTGCCGACCGATGAAACACCGGAAAGCCACAGCCTCTCCGTGCCGGGACACACCGCGCCACGTCAAGCTCCACTCGGTCGCCCGCAGCCACGCCGGTGGAGGCCGCTAGCCGGTCACGACCACCCTGCGACCTCCACGTCTGCTAGCCCTGCTTTGAACCGGCCTCGTCCCGTCGACGCCCTCGACGTCTGCGACGCCCCTGCACCGAGCACCATGACGCGCCCCTGCTCCAGGCCCGTGACCATGACGACCCGAGCGCCCTGCCTTGCCCTAGCCACCATCTGTGCCACGCCGAGCCCCTGCACCGACGCACCCTGATGAACGCCGATGCCCTCCCCGCGGCCACGACCTGCACCGCCGGAACTGCGCCCCTTGCAGCCAAAGCTGCCGCCTCGGGGCGCCTACATCACGCCGTTCGCGTCCAAGAATGGCAGCATCACCACACCGATGCTCTCTACATCCCCCTGTATCACGTCCCGAACTGCACCACGCGGACACCCGGCACCAAGCCCGTCGGTAAGCACCAGACCCCCAAAGCTCCACCTTTGATTCGTTGCCTTGATGCCTGTCTGTCCGGCCTTCGTGCCGCGTTGCCCGTGGCACCTGCACTTGCACGCACAGCCACCGGAATAGTGCCTGTTCTCGGCTACTCAGGAACATGACGTCCACGTCATGCACACGAGTGCTTACCTCGCCACCCTCACGGCCATGGCACCGACTGGCACGCGGCACACGACCCGGCGCCACTGAACGCGCCGTCGTAGTCTCCGCTCCGACGTCCCAGTACCGGACACAGCCACACCAGCCCGGTGACCTCGCCTATGACGTTGCAATGCGGCACACGATCACAGCCAGCCCCAAAGTTCCGCCTTTATGCGTTCCCTTGTTGCCATCTCTGTTTGCTAGCCGTCGAACCGTTGTTACCGACTCACCGGTCGACCATGGTGCACCACCGTGGTGCCACACTGCTTGGACACACGCACAGCTGCACGCGGTGCTGCTCGGTCATCCTTTAGCACACCATTGCGTGAGCGCCGGCACGTCACAGACCGTCAAGGAGATACCGCACCAGCACATGCACTGCCAGGTCTCTCCCTTACCGCTGCCCTTGCCCGGCTAGTACCTGCACCCGGATACCCCAGCTACACAGCGCGGCATCACCGCCACAGCCGACCACAGTGGTTGCAGCCACACGCGTGAGCACCGCACCCGCACGCGCGCCTACGGCGGTGACGCGCGGCCATGCCTTACACGCCGCGCACAAGCCTCATCGCCACACCCCCACGGCCTCATCATGTCATCGTTCAGCGTGCCAAGCCGCGCTCACGCAAGATCCGCCGTAGCCTGACGCTCGCGGTGCACACGAACAGCACGGTGGTAGACCGGGCCTTGCCGATGCCACCGCTTGGACAACCATGCACGTGCACTCGCTAGCCCAAGACCTCTTTTTGCCTCGACATCACAGCAGTAGACACCTCCCGGCCAGTCGCTGCCATGCCCGGCCAGCCATAGCCAGCCTTTAGCCAACCATAGCCACTTATAGCCAGCCGCAGCCAGCCACAGCGAGCCGTAGCAAGCCACAGCTAGCCACAGCAAGCCGTAGCTGGCCTTAGCTGGCCAGAAGAAGCCACGACCCTTCGGGA